GCTTTAGGACCTAAGTCTTTAGCCTAAGGATTCTGGGTTTGGATTGAATTTAAGATATGGACTGGGCCTAAGGGCTAGGAGCTAGGAAGATCCTAGGATCTAGGACTCAGGAAGGAATCAAGAGTGACCTCATACAAAAATGAGGTCAACACCATATAAAGTAAATTGGAAGTTAATTTTTTTGATGAAGAATATTCCTTCGATCAAATTAGCTAGAATCAATAATTCTTGATTTGTTAAGTTGATACCACTATTATTGTTAAAGGTCAATTTTTCGACCAACTCAAAGGTTGAACATATGGTTGCGAAGTCGTTGTTAGCAACCATTCCTTGCTCGATGTCAATAATCCTACTACAATATTTTATAATAATATTATTGATGTCATCATGATCATCTATACTTACTTCTTTAAAACAAGGAGTAAGTCATAACAAATTTTACCAGATTGCTCACTAATCCATTTTTCATTATTTCATAACCTTCGTTTGACAACAAGTATGGTGGTTGTATGCTCATTAACACATAATAAGTTCGTATAAGATGATTTTATCAAAGGACTTGAAGCATTAAATCCACTTTTATTTTGCATAACATTGTATCAGATTGACATATCTTTATGTAAAGACTGTTACAACACTTAAGAAGGTAACTCTTACAAAGATTGTGTTTTAATGGGCTACTTGCTAAATAGATGGAACTTCCACAGGCATTTGCCTCGAACCACCTTAAAGTGTCACTAACACTACAAGAAAAAATTGATATACTGGAGGACTTTTCTGGTGGAATGATATCCGCCGGTAGTACTGGTGGTGTAATAGGTGGATATTCCACCCGTAACTTATCGGCGGGTTTTTCAACGAATAAATCGTCGGTAATTTCCCGATGGCAAATCCGCTAAAAATACCACCGGTTTTTCTAAAGCTAGTGGTAACTTCCAACAAAAAAATGTGCTAGAAATTTTTGGCGGAACTTCTAGCGGAAAACCCATGGGCTTACTTAAACACCACAAAATATTTCTGGCAAAAATACAACCAAAAATATATTCGACAAAAAATCCATAGCAGTACCACTGAAAATGCCTTATTTTCTTCAGAGTGTTGCTCGTAATCATATTCCAATTCATTTCATTCCTACTTCGCTCCTGGTCGGGTGATTTGCCTCTTACTGAATGTCGCATCTGTCGCCTTTATGTACACTGCTCTATCATGGTCGTTCATCACCTCAATCGTTGGCACCATAGTAAGTTGTTCTACTGTCAGCCCTTTTTTTTTTTTTTTCTTTGGTCATGGATGTTTTTGGTAGACATTTGCAAGAGATTGTACTATGGTGTATGCATTTTGTTGATGATATTCTTATTGTTGATAAGACTAAAGAGGGAGGTGATGGTGAAATAGATGTCGATACTATTAACATAATTCAAGTTTGATGGTGAAAGTGGAGGAATGCATTGGACTTATTGTGTGATAGAAAATTCCTCTCAAACCTAGAAGAAAATTTAATAATGTGTGGTGATACCTGCAATGCTTTATGGTGTAAATTGTTTGTCA